AATTGACACGTTGCGTTCCACTCACTGATGTTATTTTGTAAACAAGGTTATAGGAGAGCGCAGCCATCTTCTCTGTGGTACAGACTGACGCATGCGCTTTGAAAATTTGTCTCTTCAAAAACACTGGTGTGTCGCAACTGGTATAGCTAGACTGTGACACAGCCCGTGTCTATAAGTATATATGATCTAAGACTTAAGGCTGTGTTCAGTTAAGCAAGATGGAACGAACTAATGCAGGAAATGCAGGAAATACAGGAATTGGAACTAAAGAGCCGTCTACAATGGAGAGTCGTAGGCCGTAACAGTAAGAAATTGACCAATCACAATCGATTATTCTTCTGTACTTTGTCTGTGATTGGTCAATTTCTTACTGTTACGGCCTACAACTCTCCATTGTAGACGGCTCTTTAGTTCCAATTCCTGTATTTCCTGCATTTCCTGCATTAGTTCGTTCCATCTTGCTTAACTGAACACAGCCTAAACGATGTCTGCGGAAGAAGGTTTTGAGCAGGTTAGGAGAGGAAACTTGTTTTTGGTGTAAATAATAAATATATTTATTTATTATTATTTGTACACAATGTTATCAGTAACTTTTATCATAAAAGTACAAATGTTTACGATTGTTCTTACGTATAGTTTTACTTGTATATCTTCGTTCTAGTTTGAGGATGAGGAAACGGATATTCCTATCGGCGGAACTCTGCCCGGTGGAAGAAAACGTTTGTTTTCCAAGGAATTGCGATGCATGATGTATGGTTTCGGCGATGATCAAAATCCGTACACGGAAAGTGTTGACTTTTTAGAGGATCTGGTCATTGTGTTTATAACAGATATGACACACAGGGCTATGGAAATCGGACGTACCGGACGAGTTCAAGTGGAAGATATTGTATTTTTAGGTAATTTTGTGTGCACATTTAATTTGTTCATTCCTAAAGGTTGCTATGTCTCTCTGTAATGTGTTATCTTCTTTATGTTTGAAGTGAGAAAAGATCCTAGAAAATACGCCAGAGTGAAGGATCTTCTAACCATGAACGAAGAACTTAAAAAGGCGAGAAAAGCTTTTGATGAGGTTAAATACGTAGGTAATGTTAAAGACTAGATACGATTGTGAGATGTTATATTTTACATATTAGGAAGTGTAAAACAATTTATAAGTTTATGTTAATCTGTTTGGATTTTTTGTATGCTTAAGTTTACTTGAAGTAGAGCATGATATTGATTGTTTATAATTAGCTTTTATATATGCAATTTGGTTGATGTTTATGTAAGTTAATGTCTTGAGGAAAGTAAACAAAGATTTTTGTTTTTGTTTATTGCTGGACAAATGTCACACTTTTGAATATACATTACTTCAGTCTCTTTGTGCTTTTTGCAGCTATTTTTGTATATCAAAGAAATCTTGCAAAGGATATGTTTTAATAGGGGGATTTAAGGAAAAATTACAGTATATATTAAATTAAACAATTTTTATTAAGCAAAAATATAACGTATTGAGACTTGTTACATTGTGTGTGTGTGTGTGTAACAAGTACCATTTACTTTACCACATATTTGTTTTATTCTGTCCAAAATAAACAAATTTCTTTAACAAACAATTTTTTTACAAAAATTACACTTATGTACAATCTTAATAAAGTAACATATCGTTCCTCGTAGTAAAATATATTATTGTATGTTTAATATAAATACATATCAACCTGTAACAAAATACAGAATACTTTATTGTTTTGTTTGTTATTTGCCTACACAATTAAATGTTTATTGCTTAAATTATAGAATAGCGATTGTTGTCCAGCAATGATTATATTGCATTGTTTTCAATTGTTTGAGTTTGAAAAAGTTTATATAAAATTATTATTTGCATGTTGTTTGACTATTATGATCCAGCATGTACAGCATTTACACATACAGTTTTATTGTGTTATATACATGTATATATGCTAGTTTTGCGATTTACATTTTTGATTGTTTGACCTTTTTGTTCGAGTAATACCGCAATTATTCCACGATGTCACAAACAGCCTGTTTTGCTGACAGAATAACGTCGTTGAGTCCTACACCCTGGTAAGAGGAACCACACAGTCTCAGGGGGATGCGACGCGTCAAAATGTAATCGTGGATGCGTTGCACACGTTGATAATGACCCACCACGTATTGCGGTATGCAATTCTTCAAAATGGCAACGTTGTGCGCCACTGGTTCTTCCTCGATACGTAAGATACTTTTTGTGCGATCGATCGCCGTAGTTAACAGCTGTTCCTCCGTCGGATTCAGTCCAAAGTGTTTCTCGAACCACGCGCCACCCATCATTACCGTCAGTACCTGGATGATAGTTACAAAAGTTTTAAGTCACGATACGAAATGTTGAAAAAAAAGTTTTGCCTCTAGATCGGTATAAATTTTAATTATCAGTTTTGTACAAATATAAAAAATAAAAGTTACATAGAAGAAAACAAGAATCAAAACTTGATCTAACTAGTGAGCGTTCTGAGTGAGAAACAGTATCGAATTGATCGAGCTGTACGCACCGTGGAGGACTCCCGCGAGAATACAGAAGAATCGAAGATGACACCAAGCAGAGGAAGATTCTCCTTCGGAGGTACGAGGAAGCCGAACGCCTGCATAGGCAGCACATTCCCTGGAAATTCAAGATTAACCACTCCTACCGTCACGGTGGGTATTGCTCTCAATTCTGCCGATAACACGGGATGTTGCTCCTGCAACAATTCAGCCAAATCTTTGGCGTACAGACTCGAAATAACGCGTTCGCACTCTTGAACGTCTCCGTTAACTACCAGTTCCACGCGACCCGACTTGAAAGTAAGTTTCTCACATTTTTTTCTAGTCTGTATCTTCACTCCTCGATTTTTTACGTTGTCAGCTAACGCGCGAGGTAATTGCTCAAGCCCGTCCTGCAGGCCCCACATCACCCAGTTTTCTTTTTGAGCTTTGCTCACTAAACTCACAGACGAATCTGTGCAGTTTTTTATATTCTTGTCATTCGTATTAGCTTTTTCCTTTTTTGAAAAGATTTTTGCCAAATTATTCACCACTAAACCCTTGACTATGGAACCGTGTTTCTGTTCAGCTTCGAATAGAGATTTCATTAGAAAATTGACGCTTATTTCGCGCGCGTCTCCCGCACAGATTCCGCATATCATCGGACTGATCAAATTATCCGCAACGTCCTGACCCAATCTTCTCTCAACGAAACTGTAAACACTCTCGTCGTCTTTGGATACTTTGGCAGCTTTCAAGTCTGTCCACAGACAGTTTATCAAAGGACGATCCAGGAGCGAAGTCGTTTTGAAGATACCCTTTAATGAGGTTGGCAGAAGATGCAGTGTCCCGTCCGAGTAGATCAATCTGTTTCGCACCGCGGAATGACTCGATCTGATGTGAATTAATTTGTCTTTCAATTGAAGATTATCTATTAGATTAAGAGTGTTCTTTCCAGCCGGTCCTACTATTCTAACGGTTCTTGGTCCTTCTTCAAAGATCGCTCCGCTCGGCGAGCTTTTGCTACGTATCCATCCACCTAAACGATTAGACGCTTCCAATAAAACAACAGACGCAATTTTCGCGTCATTAACAGCGTAATACGCCGCCGATAAGCCTGCTATACCACCTCCTAATATTACTGTCATTTTTAAAATTTTAATTTTAATTTAGGTACACACTATACAGGTGTTAGTTATCAGATGTTACTAAAATATGACTTAAATATGTGTAAGTATATGTACATATATATATATTAGCTCTTAGAGGTACCGAAATCTACTAATTTTACGTACAATTATATTTATTTATGACTTTTTTGCGCTTACAAGAAATATCTAAAATCAAATACCAATTCAATTGTTGTTTAGTTTAGATGATCGCTTATTGTTTTTGATGGAAGATATATCGATCGACGCGGTTTCGCACAAATCAAAAGAATCTGGCATAGAATATTGTTGTTTTGTCTTGCGAAGCAAGTTAGCAAGTATTAAAAATGCCGACTTTTAAAGGTTAGGAACTCTTATTCCGACAAAATTTAACTACACTAGCACACGCACGCGCAGTGTTGCCAGATTCTTAAATCGTCTTTTCCCAACTACATATATGCAGAGAGAAACCTGAGAGCGGCCATCCTAATGTAAATTTTTACGACGGTTTCAGCCGCTGGTTTTAGCCGTATTTCCACAAAAGTGGAACTCAAAGGCCGTTCTACATTAAACGCAAGT